CGCCCCGCGGCGCGTCGCCGCGGGCCGCCGGCCGCGCCTGGGCGGGCCGGGGGGCGCGGCAGGCGCTGGTGCGCGAGTTCCCAGGCGTGGGAAGGCGGGCCCGCGGAGGCGCATGCACCACCGCCTGGGCGAGCACGGGGGAGGGGCCCTGGAGGCCGACGTCGAGGCGCCCGTGCGCATCGCCCACGTCAAGGGCCACTCCGAGGGCGACGCGTGGGAGCGGCGCGGCAACGACCTGGCGGGCCCGGCAGCCAGGAAGGGCAGGAGGATCCACGACCTCCCGCCCGCCACCGCGGAGCGACACGGTGCTGCTCTGCGTCATGCTCGTCAGGTCGCGGCGCGGATCGGGACGGCGTCTCGCATGCTCTTCGACGGCAACGTCGCGCCCGACCGCGCGGAGGTCGCCAGGCGCCGTGCAGCTCCCCTGCGGCACAGGTGGGCGGAGCTGCGTGCCGCACGGGCTCCTGGTGCTCGTCGTGCTGGTGATGACGGGGCGTTGGGAGCCCCCTCCGAGTCCCTGCCGCCGAGGGCGGGTGGTGAGGCGCCTGCCTTCCCGCACCTTGTGCGGCGCCGTGGCCACACATGGTCATGTGATCGTTGCGCCGCTTTCGCGGTTTCCGCCAAATGAGCCTCTAGGCTTAGGCGGGTTGTCTGTAGGGTTGCCGAGGCGGCGGCCCTCTGGGGCCTCTCGGGGGATGGCGGGGATCCCTCTGTGGCCTGTGGGTCTGATGGGCCCCACGTGAGCCCTGAGGAGCCACAGGAGCCGCCGCCCTCGGCGACCGAGGGCCTTGAGCGGTCTCTGGCTTTTCAGCAGGTGAGGTTCAGGTCGGAGGAGGAGCAGAGGGGCTCGGACCTTGAGGAGGCGTGCAGGCTGGCCAAGGCCGCGCGCGCCCTGGGCTCCGAGGAGCCCCAGCCCCCTCCCCCGCCCCCCCCCCCCCGCTCGTGCCGGGCCTTGTGGTGACGTCCTTGAGGACTGGTCCTCTGGAGGACCGCGCCCGAAGGCGCCTCGGCTCCTGGCCACTTCCCACCGCCGAGGCCAGGGTGCCTCCTGCCCCTGGCGGCCCTGGGGGGCCCCCCGCCTCCCAAAGAGGGCTCGGACCTCTGGAGGTCCGCGGCGCGGGGAGTCCTGGTCCGCGAAGGATGCTGTCCTCCCGGACGTTCCCCTCCCCGCTCAAGGCCCTGTTGGGCCGAACAGTGCTCTTGGACGTCATATCAGTCTTGCCGGTGCCCTTGCATTCTGTCACCGCTGCGGTGCCAGGGCCCAGCCGTCGGCCCCCGTACTCGTCTTGGGGCCACTGTGAGGGCGTTGCATCCAGCAAAGATTCTACGTATTTGCAGTCCCTCGAGGTGGGTATGGCGAGTGGAAGGACTCTCCCTATCCGCTCCTCATTTCGGACGATGCCTGTTTCTGCTGGCTTCGTGTCAGATAGCTCGGGTTTTAGTCGGGCTAGTTGGTTTAATCGTCGAATTGTGCGTACTCGTCCTTTTGCCCGCTCGTGCTCTCTCCTTTCCGTGGCTCTGCGCACTCGGGTCGTTTTGGTGGTGCCTCCTCCTCCTCCTCCTCCTCCTCCTCCTCCTCCTCCTCCTCCTCCTCCTCCTCCTCCTCCTCCTCCTCCTCCTCCTCCTCCCCTTGGGTTGCGCTCAGGCAGCCCCCCCAGGTGGTCCAGGCTGGCGGCGCCCCTCGGGCGCTGTGCGCCCCAGGGCCGGGGTGCAATTTCTCCCCCCCCGGGGCCCGCCTGGGGGTGGACGGGACTGCAGGCTGGGGCATACAGGAGACGGGCCTTGAAAGAAACGGGCCCTGTCCTTAGGGGAACAAGACGGGCCTTGAAAGAGACGGGCCTTGAAAGAGACGGGCCTTGAATGTGTATGCCACTTTTTGGAGACGGGCCTTGAAAGAGACGGGCCCTGTCCTGGGCCCGGAGGCCTTCCCCCTGACACCAGATCTCCATCCTCAGCCGTTGCTGCTGGAGCTCCTACAGGCCCGGGGAGGGATCCGAGAGCCCCATAGAACGGCAGCGAAAACATCAGGGCCCGTTTCCCTCAGGAGCCGCTCTGCGACGAAGCCAGGCCGAGGATAAGTTCGCGTGAGGATAAGTCAACAATCTCTGAGTTCCGGCGGATCTGTAGGATGTCTCAGGCGCCGCGGCCTCCTCAGAGCGTTCCGGAACGCTCCGAGAGCGTCCCAAAACGCCCTGGATAGAGGGCTGAAAATCCACCCCCAGAATGATCACCCCGACACGCGAAGCCGTTGAGCAAACGCACCCCCAGAAGGAATCGAACCAGGCAAGGCTGCTTCGCAGACGCCCAAGGCCGTCTAGCAAACGCCACTTGTCCGGTCCGGGTGGTTCTTCCTCCCTTGGCTGGAACGGATTCATCCGCGTCCTAGCCGCCAGCCCCGTCTGACGCCGGCCTCATGGTCGGAGGCCTGGAATTTGGCACCAGCACCAAGACAGGGGGCTGCCTCCACAGGGGGAAGATGATCCTAGATTCTCGGTGTTGGTGGTAGTAGCTCGGCCGCCCTGAAGCCAGAATATTACCACCATCACCGAGATCGGGTTCTTCTTCCCTCGGTGGAGGCACACCGCCGAAATTGGTGTTGGTGTCAATCTCTGGGCCTGCGACATGGCGGAGGCTGCGGGCCGCGGGCCCCGCTCCGCGGAGCGGCCAGCCCTCCGCCGCTCGCCGCGTGCTCTCGGAGGCAGGGGCCTCCTCGCGCTGGTCGGCTCACGGGCTGCCTCCCTTGGAGGACAGCAGGCCCGCCCTCAGGATGCATTAGGGGGCCACATGCGAACCCTACCCCTACCCCCCACGATTTCTGAGGGGGAGGGTGGGGTTCACCTCGCTCGGGAGCTCCCGAACGAAGTGAACCCCACCCTCCCCCTCAGAAATCGTGGGGGTAGGGGTAGGGTTCGCATGCGGCCCCCTAATGCAGCGGGAAGCGTGAGCGAGAAGCGAACGATTTCAGAAGTCGGGGCCCGCGTCCTGGAGGCTTCCTGCGGCCAAGACCTGGGCCGGGCTCCGTGGTTACCGCTGGAGGGCGGACATGCTCAAGGAGCCGAGCCAGTTTTCGGGAAGGTCGGCCAAGAAGCGCTGGCCCAGCTATTCGGGGGGAGGTTTCAGAATCAGATGCTCGACGGTAAGCGCCCCTGCAGGTGAAGCTCTTTAGCAAACGGACCTGAGGAAGAAGTCCAACAGGGCAGGCCAGGGCGGTTTCGACAACGCCAGCTGTGAGGGTCGGGATGTGCGCTGCCTCCCTTGATGCTCTCCCCGTCCACCCTGCCAAGGGACCTGTGGTGACGGAAGCCGAGCCAAACGCGCGTGCTGGCGCAAGCTGGTCGCCGTGCAGCGCGTGGTACTTTTGTGCTTCGTGACGCTGATGTCTTGTTCTCTCCCCTCCCCCCCCGCGCGCGGGAATGTAAATGGTGGGCGGGCAAGAGAGAGAGAGAGAGAGAGAGAGAGATAGGCCAGCCCGACGCTTCACATCGCCTCGCCCTCTCCGCGCGCGTGCTGGCAGGGCGGAGGGGCCCACGTGGGCTGCCTTCGCTCGGGCCAGCCGCGCTGTTCGGCAGAACCTCGCTCGGGGCGAGCCGGCGAGGCAGGCGCTGTCGTGCCTCGCGGGTTTGAGATCGTCTGTTGCCGCGCTGTTTGGCGAAGGAAGCGCCCACGTGCGTGTGCCAGTTGGCACGTGCGGGGCCACTGGGGGTCATCCGTGGCGCAGTCAGACAACCCTCCTGCTGCTCCTGCTCCCGCTCCCGCTCTTGCTACTACTCTTGCTGTTGCTTCTCCTCCTCCCTCCTCCTCCTCCTCCTCCTCCTGCTGCTGCTGCTGCTGCTGCTGCTGCTGCTCCTCCTCCTCCTCCTCCTCCTCCTCCTCCTCCTCCTCCTCCTCCTCCTCCTCCTCCTCCTCCTCCTCCTCCTCCCTCCTCCTCCTCCTCCTCCTCCTCCTCCTCCTCCTCCTCCTCCTCCTCCTCCTCATCCTCTCTCTCCCCTCCTCCTCCTCCTCCTCCTCCTCCGCTCTCTCCTCCTCCTCCTCCTCCTCCTCCTCTCCTCCTCCTCCTCCTCCTCCTCCTCCTACGTCTCCCGCCCCGCGGGTGGGGGCCTGGTACCTGTTCTCATGGAGCCCGTGCCACACACTCCACGGGGCACACTGTCAGGAGCTTTATCCGCCAGATGGGTGAGGTGCAACCGGCCGTTTTCTTTGTGATCCAAGCGGCTTGACGTCCTCGCCTTGCGGCTGGTGGCGTCAGCAGCGCCCGTAGCACTTGTTTTGGGTCCCAGGCACGGGGATCATTTGGTGGAGAGGTGGGGCCATGTGGCCCGTACTCCCCGGGCACCCTACGCACAAGCAGGGACGCTTAGGCTGCAAGTCGCCGGCGACGTGGTCACCCCTATGTGCCCAGTCTGGTTTGCGATTGAAGCCACGTGCGTGGTAGGCAACATGCTCCTCCTACGTCTCCCCCTCCCCCTCCTCCTCCTCCTCCTCCTCCTCCTCCTCCTCCTTCTTCTACTCCTCCTTTTCCTTCTCCTCTCCCCTCGCTCGTAGATCAACCATGAATTCTTCTAAGCTTTCCGACGAGGCCAGCAGGGGCGAACCCTCAGATGTACACACAGATGTCGCCGCAAGCAACGCTCAACAATTGCTGTCGCTGATCCCGCTGTCCAGCACCAAGTCATCAGGTTCGACCGTCTAAGCACCTTCCTCCTCCTCCTCCGCCTCCTCCTCCCTCCTCCTCCTCCTTTCTCCCTGCTTCCCCTCCTTCCCTCTCCTCTCCTCTCCTCTCCTCTCCTCTCCTCTCTCTCCTCTCCTCTCCTCCTCTCCTCCCTCCCTCTGTTCCCTCCTCTCCTCTCCTCTCCCCTCCTCTCCTCTCCTCTCCTCTCCACTCCTCTCCTCTCCTCTCCACTCCTCCCCGCTCTTCCCCCCCTCCTCCGCCCTCGTCTCTCCCGATGCACTGCCTCCTCCCCCGCCTCCCTCCTCCCCCTGGCCCCCGCGGGGGGCCGCCGGGCGCCTTGGGCCCCACGGGCTCGGGGGCCTCCCGCGCGGCCTGGTCTCCAGCCTGCACCGCGCACCCGCGCGAGGGCGGTGGGCAGAGCGAGGGCGAGGGGGGGGGGCCCAGGTAGCTCCCTGCGCTCTCCCTGCGAGGCAATGACATGAGCATGACATGAGATTGCCCTCTCCCTCCCCTCCCCATCCCCTCCTCCTCCTCCCCCTTCCCATCCATCCCTCCCCTCCTCTCCTCCCCCCTCCTCTCCCTCTCCTCCCCTCCTCGCCTCCTGCCCTCCCCTCCCCTCCCTCATGGGGATGCGAGGGTTGATCCAGGGAAACGAGAGCCATGACATGAGCAGGAAAACTCGAAGGTCCGCGCGGACTTCTCGCATCGGCGCCGGGGCCCCCTGGCGGCGCCTCCGGCGCCGCCCCTGGCGCGCTCCGCGCGCCAGGGAGGTGGGTCCAGCGCCGATCCGAGACATTCGACATCCACCGCCTGGGAACCGACGCCCTGGTGCCCCAGAGGGCGGTGGACATGGATGCGTGTCCATATCTATCGCCCGTGGAGGTCCGCGAAGACCGGCCCCCCATGCGGTGGTTATGCATAAGTCCTCGCCTTGGATTCCTCTCTTGCCTTGCCTGGCCATCCTTGTCGCTGCTTTTTGGGGGGCCTGCCATGTGGCATGCGCCTGGGTGGCCTGTCACCCCCCACCCAGGCGTTGAGAAGCAGCCCTTCAAAAGCTGGTCTGGTGCTGGGGCCGCGGATTGTGAGGAGGGAGGGGGATGGTACGATTTAGACTTGGGAATAGGTTCCCATCTGGGTCAACAACCAGCTCTTACGGTGTGATCTAGATTTGGGACTTGGTTCCCAACTGGGTCCCCCACCAGTTGTTACAGTGTGATCTAGATTTGGAGTTGGTTCCCAACTGGGTTTCCCACCAGCTCTAAGGAAGAGGGCGACAAGAAGGTGGAGGAGAGAGAGGGGTGGAGGGGGCGGGGCGGCGGCTGAGGGGGGGAAGGGATAGAGGGGAGGAGGAGAAGGAGGAGGAGGAGGAGGAGGAGGGACAGATGGGCAGGAGGGGGAGGGGGGCAGGGCCAAGCTAGGTGCGCTCGCGTCATATCTGACGTCCTACCCCTCCCTCCCATCCCTTACCATGGCGCTGATTTTCTCTATCCGCGGACGCGTGTCGTAGCGGACCTGTGGCTCCGCGCGCGCGTGCGTAGTGGGTGGTGGTGCACGTGCGTGCGTGCGTGCGTGTGTGCGTGGTTGTCGTGGTGGTGGTGGTGGTGGTGGTGGTGGTGGTGGTGGTGGTGGTGGTGGTGGTGGTGGTGGTGGTGGTGGTGGTGGTGAGTTGGGGGGGGTTTGTGGGGTGGTGTGGGGTGGTGGTGGTGGTGATGTGGTGCTGGTGGTGGTGGTGTGGTGGTGCAGGTGGTGTTGGTACTGGTGCTGGTGCTGGTGGGCTGGTGGTGGTGGTGGTGGTGGTGGGGGTGGTGGTGGTGGTGGTGGTGGTGGTGGTGCGGCGCGGTGGTGGCGGGCGGATGGGCGCGCGAGAAAAAGGCCCGCGCTGGGCGAGAACGCCATCCTGAACGACGGAGGCCAAACACCGATCCGAAAATGAGGCCCACGCTGCAGCGGGAGCACGATTCGGAACGATTCGGGAGCAGAAATGAGGCAGGCGCCTCAACGAGAGCAGCATTTTGGGAAAAAATGACGCCGGCGCCTCAGCGAGAGTCGTTTCCCGGGATTTCACGGGCATCCTGTGTGTAAAAAAACACTACGCGGAGGGTGCGCGGCCATCACCCGGACGCCATCAGGGGAAGAGGGAGAGTATTTTCATATTGAGTAATTGTGGAGAGGAGGGGAGGGAGGCCAGGGGGAGGGCAGGAGGCAGGAGGAGGCGTGAAGAGCAGCGGCAGGGGCGTTAGCAGCAGAGGCCGCAGCAGCACGAGGGGGGAAGCCCCCGCCCCCCGGCGGGAGAACGCGCTTCGAGGCAGGCAGCGCCGGGCCTTCGGCTTGGAGGTCAGCAGGCTGGTGGCAGAACCTGGGCGGCACTCCCGCCCGCCCCCCTGCGTCCCTCTCCTGACTCCTCCCCCTGCCCCTCGTCGTCGTCGTCGTCGTCGTCGTCGACGTCGTCGTCGTCGTCGTCGTCGTCCTCGTCCTCGTCCTCCTCCTCCTCCTCGTCCTCGTCCTCATCCTTTACCTCCTCCTCATCCTTCTCCTCATCCTCCTACTTCTTCTTCTTCTTCTCCTCCTCCTCCTCCTCCTCCTCCTCCTCCTCCTCCTCCTCCTCCTCCTCCTCCTCCTCCTCCTCCTCCTCCTCCTCCTCCTCCTCCTCCTCCTCCTCCTCCTACTCCTCCTCCTCCTCCTCCTCCTCCTCCTCCTCCTCCTCCTCCTCCTCCTCCTCCTCCTCCTCCTCCTCCTCCTCCTACTACTACTACTACTACTACTACTCCTCCTCCTCCTACATTCCCTATCCTCTCGCGCAAAGCGCGCTCGTCCCCTCTCTTGAGCTGTTTTTTCTTGGATGTGCCTCATCGGAGGCAGGCCACCGTCGTAGTCTTAATCCCAAGATGGCCTCAAGATGGCGCAAGAGGTTTCCCAAGGCGCCCAAAGAGGCCTCCGAGAGGTGTCCTAAGAAGATGCACAATGGCACAAAAAATAAAGAATTGACTGTCCTTGCCTTGTTGAAGGATGTTGGCGGTCTCGCCTTTTCGGCTTTCCGACGCCCCAACACGGCCCCTGAGAGGCCCCCGAGACCCCCCCACAACGGCCCAAGAGGCCCCCAAGAGGGCCCCAAGACGGCCGTTGAGCGCCACAGGACGGCCCAAGAGGCGCCCAAGGCGCCCAAGAGGGCCCCAAGACGGCCCCCAAAAGGAGCCCCAGCGCGCTCTTCGAGCGGCGCAGGGCGCGACGAAGTTGGAGGCAGGTGCTCGTTTCGGCTGAAGCCCCGGTTATCCGGTGGAGGTGGGAGGAGGTGCCGGCCGATAGTTCAATCGCGAGGGGGAGGAGGAGGAGGAGGAGGAGGAGGAGGAGGAGGAGGAGGAGGAGGAGGAGGAGGAGGAGGAGGAGGAGGAGGAATTGGAGGAGGAGGAGGAGGAGGAGGAGGAGGAGGGGGGGGATCGCAGAGTAACTGCTGATGCCCTTGGCCCTCGAGGGTAGGCGCAGCCCTGCCAAGTCGGATGGAGCACGTGGGCTCTCCCAGCCTGGAGCGCTGCTCGTGAAGCCTGGGATGAGAAACCTTCTGGTCTCAGAGTCTGAGCAGGGACGTACTTACGTTTGTGGATGCCACGGCAATGGACACCCTAACAGTCCTATCGTCGAATTAAAGATGTGTTTAAACTGTGTATAACATGTTATAAAGAAGAACGTGTCAAACCGGTTTTCCTTGTTTAAAACATGTTTTACACATCTGGAAAGTATTTAGCAGCATGCTTCCTATCCATTAATCGTCCTCCACAAACTTATGTCGGCACCTGGTATGGTGGATGGTATGCGCAGTCCACATGCCCCGTGACAGCCACACCTCTTCGACACCCACGGATCGGAGGGTGATTCATGGCAGCCCCTGCCGCTGCCCACCTGACATGTGACAAGTCGTGTTGCGGGTGCCACCGCCTGCTCCAGTGCAGCGAAGACTGCCACCCTGGTGGTGACCGGAGTGAGCCCGTTTGGCAACATGGCGGCATGGGGAACACGCTCTGCAGCAGGCCAGGGCGCTACCCGGGGGGAAAGAGGGGATCCCTGCTCCACCGCGCGGCGGATCACCGCCCTAAGCCGAGTTTCGGTCACGTTCGTGGGTCAATCCCTCCAGCCATCCTACAAGAGCTAACCGACTCCTGCCATCACACGGACCTCTACACCCGCCGGCGGCGGTTGCATTCGAGACGAGATTTCTTCCTCACCTCCTGCCACCGCGCACAACACTTGGCTCCTGAAGGCCATCTTTGACACGATGCCAGATGTCGCGCTGACTGCTGCCGCGGAGGAGGAGGAGGAGGAGGACGAAGGGGAGGAGCAGGAAGAGGAAGACCAGTCTCAACCCAAGACTCATCAACGATGTCGGAATAAACCCTCCCTCCAAGATCCTTCTCGTAGGCCCCTACATGTATTCATCTCCACTGGGGGAAGCGCCCCGTCGGGAGACAACTGTTCGAAGATCCTAAAACGTGCCAAAGCACCTTTCTCGGGACTCCAACGCCACGAATCAACCCAACTGTTGCGTCTTGACGATCCTGAGTCGCGCCAAAGCACCAAAACACCGCGAATGAACGTAACTGTTGCGCCTTGGCAATCCTTAATCGTCGTTTCAAAACACCAATTCTGGTACGCTAGCCATGCGAATCCGTGGAAATCCTGTAAGGTGTTAAAACGAGTGTGCGCTGCGTTAAAAGCGAGAACCACCTTTTGAGAAAGAACTGCCCTCAATCCGTGAAGTTCTTGCAAATGTTTGAATCGAGTGCGTGCGGCGCTGAGGCGAGAGCCACATTTCGAAAACGGCCCGCCATCAATCCGTATGTTTGCAGATAAAAAAATGCGCGCGGCGCTAAGGCGAGAGCCACAGTGTGGAAGCAACCCGCCATCCAGATGTGAAACTGTTGCCAGCTTTTAAGCTTCAGGAACATAGATGGTGATGAAGTCCCAAGCGAAACGCCGGGCCCGCTTCTTCGACTGGCCTCGGAGTGAGACAAGGAGTCACTTGCTGCAGAAAAAGGAATGAACGAGGACAAGGACAAGGACAGGGAAAACCAGCGGACGTGCAGAGTTTATTGCCAGGCAGAAGTTTTTGTTTGGGGGGGCGGCAGGATTAAAACCTCCCGCGGTTAACCTTTTTGCTTTGGGCAGCCCCGTGTATACCCGCGCGCACCAATACTGAACACCCACTTTGGACCTGCGCAACCGATAAGGTCATGTGATCCGCGGGTGGTGTCAGGAAGGCCGGGCGGGACCGACAACCCGGATGATCGCCCCTAAAGAAGCAGTCTCTTGGAAGATCCAGGTGGAGGGATCCAGACGGTGTGACACTGGCCAGCAAGGGAAGGGCGGACAAGGGAAGAGAGAAGAAAGACGGTCTGAAGAGAGAAGACAGAGAAAGCAACGGCAATGGAGAAAATGAAGGCCGCTGCCCTTTGAGAGGGCCATCCCGACATCGGGCAGCAAGGCCTGCCAAGGCGAACTGGCAACAGACGCCCGCATCCCCGCCCAAGCGGAAAGCAAAAACAAACGACGTGTGTACATTAGTGATATGCCTGGTTTCTCCTGATTTGGGACAGGGAAGAGCAAGAATTCAGGACGCCAACCCTCTACCGCAAAAGTTGTGGATTCGATCAGCTCTGCGTGCGACCTGCTACCAACGAGTCGGGGCTCCCTTGATGGGGGGTCGGCAGACTGGGGGCTGGGGCCTTGTATTTTGCAGCTGTTTCGGGCGCGCAAGCCCTGACTCCCAAGGGCCCTGTCATGCGCCCAGCCCAGATGTGCAACATGATTTCCACACCGCACCCAATATCCCACAGGGGCGGCTCGTGGCCGGACGAACCCACACTTGCAAGAAACAAAAACTGCAATGCAGAAAAAAAGAACTGCATTGCAGATTTTCAGATGTCCCGCAAAAGTGCTGCAGAACAAAAAAGCTGCAGTGCAGAAGAAAACTCCTGCAATGCAGAACAATCTGCATCGGAAAGGTCCTGCGGCGGCAGCGCAGCTTGCCTGGCCCTGGCTTGGCTCGCTGCACGCGGCTTGCGAGAAGCTCGCTTGCTTCGTAACGCAACTGAAAAAGGTGCCGTGGCAGGCCGGCTCCGTTCCGGAGGCCTTATTAAAGGGCATAAGAGGAAGTCCACCCTGGGTCTGCCAGCCCCAGGTCTGTGTTCCCACGAACGAGCCTCGGCATGATTTCGCAGCCAGATGGGGCGCTACAGCGTGTTGAAAATCGTGGTAGGCTTTGCAGTGACAGCCGAGGGCTAGACCTACGGAGGCAAGAGCCTCGGGAGGGAGCGGGGCTGGAGGAGCACGGCGAGGAGGCGAAGGGGGAGGCCCCTCGGATCAGGCGCTGCGAGAAAATGCAGCATCGCGACACTCCACGACCCCAGGCAGACAGACCCCGCAGTTCTGCGGGCTCTTGTCGAGGCGGACCGATCTGTGCTGGCCCCCGGGGGGCCCGAGGCTGGGCGAGCAGGCCCGTGGCGAGAAGACCGCAGCGCCACGACCTCCGGGGGACGAGGCGGGAGCTGCTCCTCGCGTGGCTGCCTTCTGTCCCCCCCTCTCGCCGCGCAGCGTCGGCTGGGGCCTCGTCCCCGTCTCTCCGCCAGCACAACGCCACCGCCACCCGCCGCCGCCACCGCCACCGCCATCGCCGCGGCCGCCGCCCTCGAAGTCGCAGTCGTCGTCGTCGTCGTCGTCGTCGTCGTCGTCGTCGTCGTCGTCGTCGTCGTCGTCGTCGTCGTCGTCGCCGTCGTCGTCGTCGAAGTCGTCGTCGGGGTCGTCGTCGAGGTCGTCGTCGTCGTCGTCGTCGTCGTCGTCGTCGTCGTCGTCGTCGTCGTCCGTCGTCACCGTTGCCGCCGCCGCTGCCGCCACCGTCGCAGTCGCCGTCGCGTCGCCGTTGCCGTCGCCGTCACCGTCGCCGTCGCCGTCGTCGTCGTCGTCGCCGTCGTCGCCGCCGCCGCCGTCGTTGTCGTCATCGTCGTCAGTGTCGTCAGCGCCATCGCCGCCGCAGCCGCCGCAAACGCCGCCCCGTCGCCGTCGTCGTCGCCGTCACCGTCGCCTGCGTCGTCGACGTCGCCGTCGCCGTCGCCGTCGCCACCGCAGCCGTCGTCGTGGCCGTCGTAGTTGTCGTCGTCGTCGACGCTTGGCGCGCTTGCCGCCGCCGCCGCCGCCACTGCCGCCGCCGTCGTCGCCGCGCAGCGTCGGCTGGGGCTTCGTCGTCGAAGTCGCAGTCGTCGCCGTCGTCGTCGTCGTCGTCGTCGTCGTCGTCGTCGTCGTCGTCGTCGTCGTCGTCGTCGTCGTCGTCGTCGAAGTCGTCG